AAACAAATAAATCAGATGACAACAAGTATCCGTGAATTTAACCCAAACTGCTTCCCGCCCAAGCAATCGTGGTCCGACGGCGACTGGTTTTCCATTTTCACGGCACATATCCACGTTCTCGGACGAACCGAGCACATGAAAACTGATCTTCAAACCTTTCTCGACTCTCTTGGTACAGCCTCAGTCGCGGCGTTTTGGCGAGAAGGCAAGTTTTTGTCAGTTTTTTTTTAATACAACCCTAGAATACACGTCTCGCATAGAACCTTCCGCCTTCAGCCCCAGACCGGAAGTGCGCCCGACGCGCGACCACCTCACCGTGACGTAACAGAGATGAGTTCGTTGGTTCGTTATAGCCAGAACATAATTTCGGCGACATATTCACCAATGCATGAACTCATCTCTGTTACGTTACGGCGCGGTGGTAGCGCATCGGGCGTAACAGAGATGCTCCTTAAAACAAAAACAAAAAGGCTCCTTAAAACCAAAACCGACAGACTCCACACGTAACCCGTAACAAAAAATAACAGGTCACAACGGGTCGACAAAGGACGTAAAAGGAAAAACCTGAACAGCGAACTTTTCCCTACACTTGGCAAGGTCAAACTTTGTACCTACAGGTTGCCTCAAGCTTGAAACACAAAAGCTTACCCCAAGCTTGAAACACAAAAGCACTAATCACAAACGAGCGTGTTGGGGACGAATTAAGTAAGTGCTTATACTTCCTATTTACACGTCTAAGAAACTAGGGAGTTTTGTGTATTGTTCCAATAATCCCTGTAAGGATACCCGATACTCCTCTGTCGTCTTTGTGCATGCATAGTATCGTTATTGGGTATCGTTACCGAGCACAAAAACCGTCTACAAGAACTCCCTACCGTTTATCGTTTTTCTAGTGAAATTAAAGACGACGTTGGCAAGGAGAAGCAAGCTAACTAATCTCGAAGGGAAGGGAAACAGAGGTCGTCTTCGCTCCTTCAGCTCCCCTTAATAACCGGTGATTTCTTCAAGAGACAGAGCCAGTGAGGACGCCTTCAGCGAGCATCAAACATAGTCTTTGAGATGAATAGAGGCAGGTTCTTAATTTTGTTTTTGTTACAAAAGAAGGGTCATTTTGGAACAAGGTCTGGTGGGATGCAAGATGGGAGGACGGGTAAACAGCTCGTCCATACTTCTAGACGGGGAACACAGCCTGTCAGAAAAACTGGACATCACCGGCTCATCTGACAAAAAGGTCCAATGTCAGGCTCTAAAGAGCGTGGGAAAGTAAAAGCTCTTTGAGTGAACCGACGGTACGTGCCTCAGAACAGCACGGCGACGTGCATGGAGAAAGTTAAAAAAAAAAAAAAAAAACGCGGCCAGCCCGGTTCAATAGTTTTCCATGTTTTAAAAATAACAGGCTTATTCAGCTCTTTGCGCACCTCGTGTGTTTGTTTACTCCTCAGACGCTCTGACGTACCGCTATTTACACCTCGTTTTGACCAATGACGGCGCGCGCTTTTCTGTCTCATCTTCGCGCGTTCTGTGCGCGCCCTTTATGTTGGCCACTGACTGTTGTGCCATTCTTCGTATTTACTTCTTTTCAATGGGTCACGATAACGTTCGCAAGCGCGGAAGACACATTTTGGTACCCCTACTTGCACGTCGTATAAACACTTACTTCGAATTTGACTTCGACCTTGACCGCGCACCTTGTTTTTCACTGGTAGCCTGCTTGCAACAGCAGGATGACGGTGATGACAACGCAATCGCGGTCTGCTTGTGGTCCTGTGTGATGGGCTCTCACTTCCGATCGAAGTGAGAGCCATTCGTATCGCTCCGACGCTGTTGAAAAAACCCAGCAGATTTTTGAATGAGTCACTTGCTCAGGAAAATAACGAGGAGACGAATGTCTAATCACTTATGTAAGAAGAGTGGTCTCGATTTTAAATGAAAAGCACTCCAGCAAAATGTGGCCGATATTGTTCGTATGCAAAACTAGCTAGCATAAAAAGAGATAAATTCAGAAATGGGGACGGCCTATCTGTCTCCTCCCTTGGAAAAGATTTATGTCATTTTATCAAGAATCTTTGAACACTCGTACTCCGCCTTCGCGTTCGAAGCGCTGTTCACGGAGTAAGGCTAGGCTGCTTAGTGGATTGAGCTTCGCCACGTGTTCGTCGCATAATTTCTGATGGGGTCCGGCTTTTACACACAAGTATCGTGCCAGTAGCTGACTTTCGCTCAAATAAACAGAAACAAAAACCTCTTTAGTCAATATTCACGTTCAAGGGAAATCGAAGAACTCTGTTCGTATTCCTAGAATTCAAGAACTCAGGAATACTGTGATGAAAACTATTATCGCCAACAGCAAGCGAAGCCCCCACCTAAACGGCTGAGAGCACGTACAATCCTCTCCACCTGTTATTGCAACGGACATGTCCGCGCGCTTGTTAGGAGACGTGGGCTACAAACCGTGATGCCAATCGGCTGCTTCCTCACATTTTTAAAATTATCATAATTCTCTGGCATATGGATAAAGCCCGTAAACTTCCGTGATTTTTCTAGAATAGCGTCAAGCCTTCCCGAGATCTTAGATGCTAAACAGTGTTTGAAAAAATCCGGAAGCGGCCGAAACATATCAAATCCAGCGCACGCTTTTTCGTGTGGACGGATAAAAACGAGCGTATGCTGCATATTACCAGCATCATAGAATATATGTAAGCATTATTAAGCGAGAGCGAGAAAACAAACATTGTATAGTCCAGTTAGGGTCACACCAGTACTCGCGTAAAAGCTCCGGGAACATGATGAACAGAACCAACTCGCCCAACTTACTACACTTCTGCAAGCTCCGGGAAGACGGTTTTATTTGTGTTTCCTTGAGGGGTGCGCGCACGCACGCACGCGCTTACAAAAGACAAAAACATGGGCGCACGGACGCACGCAGATGCAATCAACGCGAAGAGAAACCCTCCCGTGGCAGAATAGCACAGTGGCAAGACGACACCTTCCCCGGCCCCCCACACACAATGACACACACAGACACACACACCGAAAGGAGGAGCCGTCAAGCCGCGCCGCGTAAACGGAACCCCACGGCCATGCAGGAGGCTCAAACGTCTGCCGCGCACAGACAAAGCCCCCCTAACGTTCGCTAAGCTGCACATGTACTACGCGACGCGGGTACGCACGCCCGCAGTATCGGGGCAGAGGAGCGGAGGCCCGCCAAACTCGTTGGAGTCGCCGCTGAGTCTGTGCCGGTCCAAACATCCCCCCCCCCCTCCCCCCAATCCCCATCTGGGAAGCGCTGGTGCCGCTTCGTCTGCAATACACAGTCCCCTCCCCATTTTCGATTTCTTAAGCCGCGCATAGTCGCACACGCAAAATGTCACATCCTCTCTCAAAGTCCTCCAAAGCAAACGCCCCCTGCAGTTGCTTCCCCCAAACGTTACCAGACCACCCCTACGAATCTCGTTCTGGCCTCTAACAGAAATTCCTTCCAAGTTTCTGCTCCGTCTGCACTCTATACTAACCGCCACAGTATGTTTGTGCGTGTAAGGGCACCAACATGCTGCAGACACTACCAAATGTCAAGTCGGCTATCAGTCGCGAAGAGAACGCACACGCAAGCAAATCCATACGGACATCTCCTGAGTCCTGACTCCTAGTTCACGAACTCAGTCCCCATCACATCACAAATTCAGTTCACGAATTCATTCACCATCACATCACGTATACACCAGAGTCACGAAGTCCTTCACCACTGCATCACGGGTGCGTCAGAGTTCACGAGGTCACTCCCCGTCACATCACGGCTCCTTCCGAGTTCATGAAGTCACTCCCCTTCGCATCACGACTCGTTCCGCGTTCACGAAGTCACATCCACTTCACATCACGGCTTCTTCCGAGTTCACGGAGTCACGCCTGTTCACATCACGACTCCTTCCGCGTTCACGAAGTCACATCCCCTTCACATCACGGATTCTTTCGCGTTCACGGAGTCACGCCCGTTCACATCACGACTCCTTCCGCGTTCACAAAGTCACATCCCCTTCACATCACGACTTCGTCCGAGTTCACGAAGTCATTCACAGCCCTTCACCATGACGCGGTGAGCGTGAGTGAGTGTGAGTGAGCGAGTTCGTGAGTGACTTCGCCGAGGTATGCACTCAATGCTAAAAATGGAGAGAAAATAATATACCAATTTTTTATGGCTTGTAAAAAGCTGCAAATGCATTTATTGAAAAAAAAAAAAAGTTGCACAGTTACGTGACACTCGGTAACTTTCTCCTCCTCTATATTTTTTTCCTCCCCAGTTCAGCTTCGGTTTCGAGCAGTGTGTTTTTTTACTTTATTGAAAATATGTGCGACGCTGTAGCAAAATATTGATTGGGTAGTCTTCCGACACCATAACGGATATCCTGGCAACAAATAAAATCATTTTGGGGGGGGGGGGGTGTCAGTGTCCCTTGAAATAAAACAAAGCGGTGCAACTGCCATGCGGCATGAACCCTACCAATCAAACCCACATTAAATAAATCTCTAACATTAATTTTGCTCGCTTGCACGCCATAATTTAGGGCACAAACACATCTGGGTGGTGCATTTATTTTCTTGAAAATATGAAAGGGCAAGCTTACCTCAATCAAGAATATACAACTAAAAACTGATAAAAAAAAAAAAAAAAATTCAAAGGGGTTTGCAAGGTCGGAATTGTTTTCTTAACCCTTTTTGTCATTTCTGTTTAATAAAACGTCTGCTTTTTCTTTTTTTTTTTCGCATGAGCACAAAACGTTTTAACTGCTGCTTACTGAGCCATTAAAATCTTTTGATTGAGGCAAGTTTTCTGTTAAATACTTTTGAGTAAACAGGACCTTTGGGCTAGATTACAGCGTCGGAGCATGCAAAACTGATTTTCGATCTGTCGGGCCTTCGCCGTAGGTTGACAAGCAGCTGCCGACAACAGTAACTGCCTTGTCTTACTTGTTTTTCTTGTCTTGCTTCCTTTTCCAACGTCGTAGGCGGAGCTCTACCTGCTGGGCTATGCACTGGCCACAACGCTGACCGTCGTGCGACCGGCGCTCTCAGGCTCTGAAGACTGTATTAGCCGCTACCCCGAATGGCAAGTCGGGAGCTGGCCCGAGGTCGTGCTCGTCGAACAGGACGGACAATACTGTGCGTGCGCAAGGTGATGAACACCGTACACAACGACCCCCCGCCGTCGAGTTTTTTTTTTTTTTTTTTTTTTTTGTGCGTCGAGTTATACGTCTACACTGCCCTCCCTCTCCGTACGAAAGCTGCGACGTGCTCCGAGTCCGCTCGACAGAGTCGGGTTTGAGGAGCGAATGTCGTCTTGTCATTCTTGGAATCGAAGGCGGCCGTTTGGGTCTTCTGCTACTTCACCCACGTTTCGACGTTACTCGACGTCTTGTCACCTTTGAACCAAACGGCGCGACTGCTGCGGTGCAACGTACGATAACCAATGCTATAACCATCGACGGGATGAAAACGACAGGGATGAGTTCCAGTTGTCCCTCCTCCGGTGCAAACTTCCTGCCTTTGGCGGTGCTTCGGCATATCGTAAGCCTCGAACCTGATCGCGTGCCGGAGGCCAGGCGTTTGAAAGAAAACGTCCCGCTGTTTTCACCCTGTCTGTGCCCGTAGCTGTTTGAAAGCTCCCTCGTAAAATCTTTCTTCCTTATCGCGTTAACCACCTTCTGATGGCCCGTCCAAACGGCACACTTCGAAAATCATGAGGCGACGCGACTCCTGCTGGAAGCAGGTAAGTTTTTGAATGCAAAGGTGTAAAACTCTTACCCTGGAGCAAGATTGAGTAAATTTTGGAACACGGGCAAAGATACGAGGGCTCGGCAGATCAGACACCACCCGCATTGGCAATTGGCGTGCGACATCGAGTCTGACGAGCACCGAGGTCACCAAAAAGCGGAGGAAGCGAGGAGGAAAGTCGTGACGTTTGCTTGGTGGTGGTCGATCAGACGTCGGATTGTCGGACTTCGGCCGCTTCAACTTCCACGACTTTTTATGGAGTTTGTGTCGCCTCACGATTAAAGAAGTGTCCTGTTTGGACAGCCCTTAATAATGTCATCATCACGAGCTTCTCTGAAGCAGCTTACCCTGAGCAAGCTCTGGCCTTATTACGCATTGTACTTAAGGCAAAGATGCTGTAGGTGCATATTGTTCAGACGTGAAAACTTGATCGTTTGCGTCGTGTGCTAATGTGGATATTATGCATGCAGTGTTCCGTCGAGACAGCTAGTGGATGCCAAAAGAAGCCTGCACGAGAGACTATGCCTCTGTGCATAGTTTTTTTGTTTGCTTGCTGCAGGCACAAGCAATGCATTAGTACAACTGTGTTAGTCCCATGTCAAACTCGTGCTTCGTTCATTTTAAAGCATGTTACAATTTTTTTTATTCCCGATTTTAGTACGGTAATTTGTAAAGTGGTGATATATGCTATATGTATAAGGACCAATGGAGAATTGCATGCAACTTGATTTAGCAACCCGACGTTGCATGTAGAACTGCGCAATAACATTTTCTGCAAAGAAAAAAAAAAAAAATTCAGTGTCTATCTGTGATTGGCTTAGAATCCAAGACTGCAAGTGCAAAAGAGGATGCCTAATTTGTGTCGGTTTCTCCTTTTGGTTGCACCTTGTCTCTATATCACACTCTGCCAGGGCAGTGCCTTTGTTCTTCCAAATGCAATATATATGACTCTGCTGCCAGAAAGATGCAAGCAAGCAAGACGACGGGCAAATTTTCAATATTGCTTTTACATTAGTTCAGTGATCCAGGCAAAATCTGTTTGAATGAGTTGTTAAAAAAAAAAAAAAATGAAAGCCCAATGCAAAGGTTGTTATTGTGTGCAAAGTATTGAAACATTCCTTGCCCTTGTTTATTGGCGAGACCCGTTTACGATATCGAGGACCATCTTTGGAGGATGTGTATATATATTTCTCAGCATCCATCTTGTGACTCTTAGCAGTTGTCTGCTAGTTACTACCTGTTTTATGCCGGAAGAGAAGTCGTGCCAAAGAGGTGAGCGACTTTGCTTCTATGAAAAAAAAAAAAATGGGAGCTGTACTTCTTTTCGCCTCAGGAACTGTTGTGAAAAAAGTTTGGCTCTTTGCAGAGCATTACTGATTTGCCCCTTAATGTGTAAAAGACACTTGTACATGCGTTTGAAATCAGGTATTCATTGTTTTATCGAAACGTATATGTTTCATACACAGAAAGTGTTTGTTTCTTTGGAAGACAAATCTTGAAAAGAAAAAAAAAAAAAACACACTTTGCACAGTGGAGAACCTGTGCACAAACCATTTTTTGTTTTTTGGGGTGACCAGTATAGTTACTTCAAAACGAGTTGTGCTCACAGTGTGCAGTGTGCAGTAGGTTCGTAACGTCTGCCTGTATAAAAGCGGCTGCCGGGTGAAATCTAGTTTGCAAGAAAAGAGAAGATATTTTGGGAAACAGCGGTGTTCACATAACTCAAGGTACTAGCATTGTAGTCACGCATAAAAATGTAAAGCCCTGCACGAGAGAAAAACGAACGTCACCTGTTGAATCTAGCTAGAAACGGAAGCTAGGCGAATAGTACAGCAGTCAATTAAAAAAAATGTACTGCACACCTGAAAGGCATTGCACTGTAAATAAAACTGCCAAAATGCTCTCAAACTGTGCAGAACTCTTGAGATCGCCTAAATAATAGAGCAGCTTAGAGTGGCAGTCTCCTCCTTGTACACTTTGTTCGAAGCGGCATTTCAAAATATGATGCACACCACTGTACGAACAACTTCCTTCAGCACTACTTTTGCCCGATCCATGTCATTATGAACCTGTGGTTATATCTCCGACGTGTGATGGGGCACATAGGTTGTTGGAAGTGTATTGTGTGAGAAGTGCCTTTAGATATGTCCGTGGAAGGAAAAGAAAACCCTCAAAAAAAATACATGTCTGAACAAACCATTTGCCGGTGGTATCATTCACTGCAGCGTACCTTGGGGTAATGCCCTCGGTACTTACCATAGTCAGCGACGGGTTAGAAATACTCTAGAAGCTCCGCCTCCACAACGCATTTGTTGCCTTCTGCCGAGTTTGGGCTGCACGTGCGACAAAGTGTTATCAACGGCGAAACGTTCACGCTGAAAACAAGGTATTTACTGAATTCCTAGCTTGTCGCCGACTATTTGGCACACCTGAAGTTTGCTACACGATAGCTGTATATGCCCTCCTATGAAACAATTGCAGCGGAGCTGTTAAGGGCTAGGTTCCCGAGGATCGTGTCCCGTACCAAACAAATGTCGACACAAAACTCTGGACAGCTACCGCCATCTATGAGCGACGGTGGCAACCAGACAACCGGCTTGCCGGCCTCGCTCATAGATGGCGGCAACCTCTCCAGCCTTTCCACTCTGGTTTACACCAGAGAGGAAAGGCTAAATTTCTCTAGGTGTTATCCTAGATGTCGTCCTCGAGGTCGTCCTTGAGGTTGTCCTCGAGGTCGTCCTAGAAGTCGTCCATGAGGTCGTCCTAGACGTCCTCGAGGTCGTCCTAAAGATCGTCCTAGACGTTGTTCTCTAGGCGTCATCCTTGAAGTCGTCCAAGTCGTCCTTGAGGTCGTCCCATCATAGTACAGCTTCGCTGGTCTTCCTTCTTCACCAGAGTGGAAAGGCTGAAAGTTTTTTTTTTTTTAGACAAATGTACTTTATTTATCTGTCCAAGACAGAGAGGTCTCTAAACCCCGGCTCGCTGCTAACGGTGCCAAAATAAGCATGTACAAAGAAACTGCGAAGCACCACACACTAACCGTGTAAACTATGATACCAGAAAATAGGGTTGGGCAGTGATACTCCAAAAAGTATACTGGACTGCAGATACCAAGATACATGTATTTTGGAGCCAAGACACAGATACTCGGATATACTTGCCTTTTAGGTAATGGAATGTCCCTGAGATACGCAAAACTGTGAAAAGAAAGTATTCTGGAATACAGATACAGATACATTTCTTTCTCCGACAGTGGTAGGTGCGGAGGGTGCAGTTTGTAGCGAATGGAAATGGCAGGGCTGGTATTCCTCAAGTTTATGTCAGTTTATGGACCTCCCAATGCTGCTAAAAACATTGTCGCCCCCAGTGACCCACATGATAGGTACTAGAGACCAAGGACGATTTGCCATGCTTGAAAAAGGCGTATGCCAAATTGAACCTTGTTTTGCCCCTAAAAGTGTGCCTCGATTTGAGACACACCTTCATGGCAAAACAGGGTTCTGAGAGGAGGTTATCCTGCTCTTCTTGCAAGTGACTGTTCCTCGAACCGCCTTTGTTTCTTGCCTTTTTCATGAATAATTTTTTTCGATTTTGGTGACTATGATATGTTACAGAGGCTTCACCCCTGCAGATGCAGTTGTGCAATGGGCACATATTACAAATTCTGGGACTCCGTGCACCAAAACTGAAATACCCCCAAAGGCATTTTTCAAAAGTACCTCAATACAGAGATACAGATACTTGAAAGTATCTTTAAAGTACTATCGCGATACATTTGCATCTCTACTGCCCAGCCCTGCCAGAAAAAAAAAAAAGACTAGTGAAATTCGCCCATTCTAAGGCGTGTCCTTTCTTCATATTATTCACTGAACATTTTCCTTACCAGCATCACCACTCTTAGTTCGTTTCATATCTATGTAACTTTGTGTGTTAAAATTCCTGTGCGTTCCCATGTATATTGTGTTCAGTGTCCTGTGTCGTAACTATTGCATATTGTCGGCATCAGTTCTATCATTCTCAAATAGTTTTCAGTCCTGTTGGAACATGCCAACGTTCTCATGCACTTTGGTTTATGCCTGGTGAGTTTTCTGAATCCCCATTATTGTGTAATGTCAGCTTTTAGCTAAACACTGGACTTAAAAATAAGTACCTAGAGGTATGCCATCAGTGTCAGCGGAACCGTGTGCATTGCATTATTGGATGTTGCAGACCTATACACCAACTCAATTTCCCGCTAAATTTAGCGAAGAAACTGAATTGTGTGGGTCTTTGACGTCCCATAATGCAACACTGCGCATCCAGTTTCCCCGCTAAATTTAGCGGGTACAGAGGAGGAGGGTATGGAGGAAGAGAAAAGGAGGCGGAGCAGCATACCCTCCCCTCCTCCCCCTCAAGAGCTGCGCTCTAATTTCGCATTAGAGATTTGTAAACATATTTCATTTTTTTACTCAAAAATAATTGCTTACATAGGATTTCTTTTTTTCCTAAATTATATTTACTTATTAATTTTCCAGCCCTTCAGACGACAGATCCCTGCCGAAAACGGGCAAAAATGGGCCCCATTTTCCCATTGAAATTTTCAGAAAATCAAATAACTTTTAGATAAGATGTCGGTTTGTGCTGAAAATTTGGCATCTGGTTCAGACCTCTAGCGCTACCTTTGGGCAGAGAATGAGCGTTCGGCGATGAGTAGTTTATTTTTGCGGTAAAAAAAAAAAAAACCTGCAAACTTTAAAGAGGGTGTTTGGTATCTGTACTGTAGATTAACAATTCAGCCCGTGCAGTACCCCTGGTAGCATGGGGTCTTCAACGTGCATCACATACAATGCGGAGCACGTGGAGCGAGAGTTGCACTGCTTTTAATCTCAACCCCTGCGCGTTTCGATTTGGATGAGCATCGCGATGCACGTTCAAGGCCTCAGGCTAGCAGCCGGTTTCTCGCGTGTCTACAAGAGCTTGCGATGCCAGCGAGAGCACGAACTGATCGTTCGCGCGTGCATCGGGGCGAGCCTTCGCACGATCTTGGAATAGACGAAGTCGGAACAAGCAGACGGTAGCATCAGGATTTTGTGTTGCTTTATCTACAGAGTGACGACAGGTAATTTTTTGGACATTCTAATCGTTTCCCAGCCATGGGTCATGTCGGTTCTTGCGCAGCGTGAATTGAATCCGACGAGCCATATCTTCGTCGTAGACAGCCTTGCAGATTTCGTAGTTGACTCTCCGCCGCGTCTTGGTGGGCTTTTCGTAGTACCTGGTCAGACGATAGCGGTCGAAGATGCCCTCCATGCCCAAGATGCTGCAAAGGTCAAGTGCCATTATGACTCGCCGAACTGCGCGATCGTAGACGCAAACGCAAATATTCAGCCTCAATTTGTAGGGCAACCGAACGTTCCAGACAAGGACTGTCGTAGTTTCGCTTTAAGATTACAACGCAATTACATTAGAGATCCCGTGGTCAACACCGAAGCGGCAGTTTTGTGAAGTTCGCACATGGTTAGCTCGTCTGCTCAACAGCTCAAACCGGCACGAGGGTTCGCTTACCGGTTCAGCACTCGAAGTGCCTCTTCGACTTGGTTGTTTTGAACGAGCACCGTACGGGCGATGAACAACTTATGCCTCATTCCGACGTGAAAATTACGGCTATGAAATTTCGACGATGAACCGCAAGAAATTCAACATCACCGTGCGGGCGGAATTTACGCGAGCGCGCAGGACGTCGCCATTTTAGTTTATAGTGATGAAGACGCGATTGGGCTAAACCCTTTGGAGTGAGTTCCGTTCACTCCCGCGGCCGGCCCGCGTAGGACGTCGGGCAGCAAGTACAGCGGTGCAGCTTTGAAACTCTGTTCCATTAACACTGCTACAAGTTTCAAGTACGTATCTCAAACAAAAATTTATACAAATGAAATCTAGATGTCGCGTATTAATCGTTATCAATTGATTTCTTTTAGAGCGATCACTTGGTTTTAGTAACGGCGGGGACTGACCGTTTTTAAATTCCGCAGAAGGGCAACGGAAACAAAAACCACAAGAACTGGCTCACTTTTGAATAGTCATCAAATCGAACGACCTTTTCGAGTCGATAGAACCGCAAATACGCCTCGAAAGTAAACATACTTTCCGCCGTCCTAGTTACAAAGTACACAATCAAACGTCCAACACAAAAGACCTGTGCACGCATCGCGCAACGAAAAGACAAAGCATTTCTTTTTCTCCTCTCTGTGCTCTCGTGGCACAATAAACGATGTCTGGTCAGACTGGAACCGAACTATCGATCCGCAACCCAACGCTGGCGTCAGCGCATCCACGCATGCGCCAAAAAGAGAAAGGGCGGTAACCTTCACCGCCGAACAAGCTCGCCTCGTGGCAGAGCCACACTGGCCACATCGTACTCGCGGCTCCCGAAAGAACTGTAAGGGGCTCCATGGTTTTGAGTTTACACTTTTCGCTTGATGCGCTGCCAACTTAGAACTCAGTTTAAAAGTTGACAGTGCCCTAGCAGGCTATTAGAGTAGATAGGTATATAATAATTTGAAACTAGAATTCTTGAATTTTACGATGGCCCTCAGTTGGGTGTCACCTGTCTTCTCAAGGGTCCCAGGCAAGGACGACACCAAGTCGCCGCCCAGATTCATGTCACGTGACAGCATGCCGCAATGGAAACGTCACTCTTTTAAAGGTGCTGGCTTTTTTTTACTATTCTACACGCACCCCGCCCACATCATTAAACCATAGTCGCTTTGTCACATTACTACCATAACGTTTTGCTCTATCAGCTTTTGTTCAGAACCAAGGCCGGATTTTTAATATGTCAGACATTAGAATGACCTAGGCTACCGCGCTTATGGGAACACTTCTGTCCTTTCTCCATAAACGGTATACACGTGGTGCACAAGTTGTTATTTTGTAATCGAGTGAGGCTAAGAGCGTGCCGAGAATATGCGTTCCCAACCAGAAATGTTGGATAATCGTAACATGACTGTCCCATTAATTCAACAGCGCAACAGAAGGCATGCAGCAGTTACATAGTTCCCGACATTCACACCAACAATAGCGGTCGTATGACAAAAAAATAATAATATTAATTATGCCAAATCACATGTTATTACTACCTATTCAGCATGGATGCAAGCTACACACTTCTCTGTGGCTATCGGAATATTCATGCACGTATAATTCATTCTTATATTTTTTTTTTTTTTTTCTTTCTTGTATGTCAGATGATGACGAACTCTACGTCAAGTCTTCCTCAAACCTGGTAGCGGCCCGTCCGTACGGTGGCCAATCAGAGGTGAGAGAACAAAAACTCGATTCATCTTCTTCCGCGTGACGACACGACAGAAAATAAGAGTCTCGCGCTGCAAACTAAAAAAAAAAAGAACGCAACAACAAGGAGAGGTTTGCTTCTGGGTCACGATTGATCCGTAAGGTCACGACGACTTCTATCTGCCACCCCATAGCAGAAGACGCTGGTTTCAGAGAAACGTGTAACGCCGCACGAAGGCTCCGGTTTGTGGAACCTGTACCTGACTTGTACCACCACCTAGAAGACAAGGCCCTGCGAATGACGTCATCGATGGTAAATCCCGCCCCAAGCGGCAAACACGCGGAAGCTCCTCGCGCTGCGTGGATCCACCAATCTCTAGATATACAACTAAGTTAAGTAAACGTTAGAAAAAAAAAACTGTTAGATGGTGCAAGCCGCCGCTCGATTCAAAGGGTTCAGCCTCATCCATCCATTCATCCAGTGATGACGTTTGGGGGCGACATGCCCGGGCCTTGTCTTCTAGGCGGTACTGGTGGAACACGCGCCAGTGTGTTCTAATGCCACCGTCGTCAATAGGGGGTGTCGCAATAAAACTCGTTTTAGGCGGATACTAATTAACCGTCCTGAGCGAGACCACCTGCGCGGTCACGTGGTTTCTCGGTTTCGGTTTCTCGGCCGTCACGAAGTCTGTCTGCGCCAACGTTGGTCTGCGAGTGCGCCTGTAGGGGACGTTACGTTGTTGTTGTTAACAAAAGAAGGGGGAACTAATGAAATCTGAACGGAGGGTGGCTGCGTGAACGAAACACAAAAAGGTCTTTAGGAACGCTCCATTCTGTGTTAGTGTTCTCACGGATGACTTCGCATTGCTATGCTAATCAAATGTATGTGAGACCATGCGCAGTAAATAAGAACATGGCGGGCTTGCTGCAAACAGCTATTCTCCGTCCCACCGTAACTTGGCAAACGGTGAAGGCTACGTTCCCGGCGAGCCAATCAGCGCGTCGGAAGGAGACACGTGACTTTAGGCTATCTCTCTACACTCCGTGTCACTAGTTGTGTGCAGTGCAGAAGGCAATGGCAGGCGAAGAGAGAAAGGGTGAATACTATGAAGGCGGTTCGGGAGATGAGGGCAATGGAGGGTGAGGGTGAAGGGAGAAAAGAAGAGCACTAGGAACGTTGGAGAGGAGGTGGTTTCTCTCCTCCCCAGCCTTTCTACTGCTTGCCCTTTCTCCCATCGCCTGACGTTGCCTTCACCTGTACTGCACGCAACTAGTGACACGGAGTATAGTTGCGCACAGTGCTGTCGAAGCCACGGGTGGAAAAGAGAGCAAAGCCGCTTTTGTACGAATTTCGAATGACGGACTAATCTCTGAGGGATACAAAAGCGACATTTGGAACGCACAAAAAAGGGTCTGGGTAAGAGGGCAGTTCCTCCTTTTCCTCTTCTCCAACTGCTCGTTACGCCAGTGTTGGTTACGCTCTCGTCCATGTACCTTTGGGGCTGTCACGTGCTTCGCATCCGTCGCTCCGATTGGCTCGATCGGGCCGCAGCGTTCGCTATTTGCCAAGTTACTGCGAAATGAAGGAACGCCTGCCAAGCAAACCTGGGGCGTGCGAGCACTTGAAACTCGACAAGACATGCCACTCTACTTGTCCGCAGGCTCTGGCAGGGCTTTGTTTCACGCAGTCTTAGCTAAGACTGTTTTTGGCAAGCCGGTCCCGGTGTTTATGAGAAGAAAGAACAGCATTCCAGGGTGAATTTGCATTTATTTGACAGGCATACCACGAAGCGATGCCCGAAGGGAAGAACAGAACTCGTTGGATAAACACACAGTTGTGCCTGAATCTGTTGTGTCTATCGTCTGCTTATTCGAATAAGTTGCATCGCGTGCGACGCCATCCCACGAGCGTCTGTAACCGCTTTAACCGCTAGCTTACATCCGGGACAGTGAGTCCCCGATACGACAGCGGAACAGTGATGCGGAAATCGAGAGCAGGGAACGTACTGAACGAACAACCCAAATTAGCAGACGACGCGCGCAAAAAATAAACAAAACATAAAGAGCGAGGGAGAAAGACTCGGGGGAAGGGGCGAAATGGAGAGAGGGGGAAATGGGAAAGAGGAGAAGGCAGTTGCAGCAGAGCCAAGTCGGAGACATCCAAAGTGTGGAGAGGTTGAACCTCACGACCGTAGAAACGGTGGGCGTGCCAAGACGCGGTCGTAATACAAGACGATACGAGCCGAAGACAAGGCAAGCCACAGGTTGCGGCAGTTGCGTGGTGCAAACGGTTCTTGAGGAGTGGTGTAGCAGCCGTCGGAGGAAAAGGTGGAGGCGGAGGGAGAGAGACCCGGGACGCGATGTCATTCAGCGGAATCAAGGTGAGACGCCGTGACAATTTTGTTTGCACACGTTCCGTTGATCTTTCTCTCAAAGTTTTTAAGAGACTGTGGGACATTGAAAGTTGCGGTGTAGTTTTCTGACTCGGCATTTTGGAACGCGTTAAATTGCGGTTCTTATTGACCGTTATCCAGTATACTGGTTAGCACAATCAGACGACTGTGCATCAAGGAAATCGGAAATGTATCGACGCATAATCGCTCCCCCTCTTTCTCTCTCTCCTCTCTCTCTGAAAAAGAAAAATATCCATGTTATAAACTTAAAAAAAAAAAAAAAAAAAAATAGAAGCTGGGTGGGACATTCCTTTTCAAACCCAAGTGTCATCGTATTTTGAAAATGTGTGTGAAATATTATGCTATAATTACTTTGCACTTGATAAGTTTTAAATTCAATAACTGTGCAAATGTTTTTGTTTGTTTGTTTGTTTTTTCGTTGTTTTTTTTTTTTTTTTTTGGCATTAGCGTTTTGATTTTAAACACAGTTGAATATGCGCAATATGTGTAGGCAGGTGATCCTACATGGTGTCTGCTTAGACCAACTATAATTTCGAGCCAGGAACCAAGAGGTCCCTTCAAGTTTGCAAACTCAAAAATCGAATCAACTTTCAATTTCATGGCGTATATTTTAAAGTCTAGTTTTACCGTATTATTTGTGTCATAACACATAACCTATTTCATTATGTCTCATGCGTTATAATTTACCAGTTAAACGAGAGCTAATATTTTCATCCTTTCAGTTGCGTGACAGAAGTTGCATGACAAAGGAGACGCGGCAAAGATTGTACAACATAAGTTGCTGGATATGCTGTCCAGCAACATTATGCTGTCCAGCAACATAAGCCCTCGAGCAATATTATGCTGTCTAGCAACATAAGCTTTCGAGCAAAATTATGCTGTCTAGCAACATAAGCTCTCCAGCAACATTATGCTGTCTGGCAACATACGTTGGTGGGCAGCACAAGTTGCAAGATATTCTGATCAGGGCAGCTTCGAGTTGGACCGCAATTGCGGGGCGTTGAGATTCTGTTACTTTTTGTTTTTTTTATTTCATTTAGAACATACTGCAGGACAATGGTTTGCCCAAGCAGGA